ATAAATTAAGATGAACCTAATAGCTATAAGGAAGCCATGGCAGGCCCGGAGTCTACGAAGTGGAAAGAGGCAATGGACAGCGAGATCCAATCCATGTATGACAACCAAGTTTGGAATTTGGTTGATTATGTGCCCGGTCGTAAGACCGTAGGGTGCAAATGGATCTTCAAGAAGAAGACCGACGTGGATGGAAACGTACACACATATAAGGCGCGATTAGTTGCGAAGGGTTTTACTCAAACTCCCGGAGTTGACTATGATGAAACCTTCTCGCCAGTTGCGAAGATAAAATCTATTAGAGTGATGCTAGAGATTGCCGCATTTCATGATTATGAAATTTGGCAAATGGATGTCAAAACCGCTTTCCTTAATGGGAAGTTGGCTGAGGATGTTTACATGGCTCAACCAGAGGGTTTTGTCGATCCGAAGCATCCAAATAGAGTGTGTAAGCTTGAGAAGTCCATTTATGGACTTAAGCAAGCGTCTCGCAGATGGAATCTTTGCTTCGATGAGAAAGTCAAAGAGTTTGGATTTGTACGAAGTGAAGATGAATCCTGTGTATAATGTCAAAGCCAGTGGGAGTATAGTTAGCTTTCTCGTTTTATATGTCGATGACATATTGCTCATAGGAAACGACGTCCCGACACTGCAGGAGATTAAGTCCTGGCTCGGGAAGTGCTTCGCTATGAAGGACCTCGGAGAGGCTTCCTATATTCTGGGAATAAGGATAGTGAGAGAACAAAGTAAGAGACTAATAGGTCTTAGTCTGAACACTTACTTAGATAAGGTACTAAAACGTTTTAGTATGGAAAACTCGAAGAAGGGAGATTTACCGATACAATATAATGCAAAGTTGAGTAAGACTCAAAGTCCGAGTACCGAAGCCGAAATAGCAGAAATGAGCCGAGTACCATATGCTTCCGCAGTTGGCTCAATCATGTATGCTATGACTTGCACTCGCCCTGATGTAGCCTTTGCTTTGAGCATGGTTAGTAGATATCAAGGTAATCCTGGCAGAGCCCATTGGATTGCGGTGAAAAATATCCTTAAGTACCTTTGAAGTGGACCTAATAGCTATAAGGAAGCCATGGCAGGCCTGGAGTCTGCGAAGTGGAAAGAGACAATGGACAGCGAGATCCAATCCATGTATGATAACCAAGTTTGGAATTTGGTTGATTATGTGCCCGGTCGTAAGACTGTAGGGTGCAAATGGATCTCCAAGAAGAAGACCGACGTGGATGGAAACGTACACACATATAAGGCACGATTAGTTGTGAAGGGTTTTACTCAAACTCCCGGAGTTGACTATGATGAAACCTTCTCGCCAGTTGCGAAGATAAAATCTATTAGAGTGATGCTAGCGATTGCCACATTTCATGATTATGAACTTTGGCAAATGGATGTCAAAACCGCTTTCCTTAATGGGAAGTTGGCTGAGGATGTTTACATGGCTCAGCCATAGGGTTTTGTCGATCCGAAGCATCCAAATAGAGTGTGTAAGCTTGAGAAGTCCATTTATGGACTTAAGCAAGCGTCTCGTAGATGGAATCTTTGCTTCGATGAGAAAGTCAAAGAGTTTGGATTTGTACGAAGTGAAGATGAATCATGTGTATATGTCAAAGCCAGTGGGAGTATAGTTAGCTTTCTCGTTTTGTATGTCGATGACATATTGCTCATAGGAAACGACGTCCCGACACTGCAGGAGATTAAGTCCTGGATCGGGAAGTGCTTTGCTATGAAGGACCTCGGAGAGGCTTCCTATATTCTGGGAATAAGGATAGTGAGAGAACGAAGTAAGAGACTAATAGGTCTTAGTCAGAACACTTACTTAGATAAGGTACTAAAACGTTTTAGTATGGAAAACTCGAAGAAAGGAGATTTACCGATACAATATAATGCCAAGTTGAGTAAGACTCAAACTCCGAGTACCGAAGCCAAAATAGCAGAAATGAGCCGAGTACCATACGCTTCCGCAGTTGGCTAAATCATGTATGCTATGACTTGCACTCGCCCTGATGTAGCCTTTGCTTTGAGCATGGTTAGTAGATATCAAGGGAATCCTGGCAGAGCCCATTGGATTGCGGTGAAAAATATCCTTAAGTACCTTCGGAGGACCAAGGAATGGTTTTTAGTCCTCGGAGGGAGTGATGACTTGAAGGTGTGAGGGTATAGTGACGCCAGCTTTCAGACCGACAGGGAAAACTACCGTTCGCAGTCGTTCATATGTTGGAAGTGGGTATGAATGAAGATTGTCATGAATTGGTGTGTAGATTGTCTAGATGGTATTAGACATAGCAAAAGTTTGCTGCAACGTTCATGAGTGCTTATGAACTAGTTTTGAGCATTGGAACAAACCCGCGCTTGCTGGAATCACCTTATGGAATGTGACAAAAGGGTGATCGCAAGACGATAATATCATATGGTCTTAAAACCTAGATATATGGTTTGTTATTTGTTAATTGGTTGTACATTGATAATGCATGCGAAACCGCATCAGTAACTTGATGCTATAAAACGCATTGTTGTGTATAGTTGGTTTATGAACAAGTAAATGCATATAAGTCGAAGTTTATATGTTACTTTTATCCTAAGAAGGTAAAAGCGATATCTCGGCCGCTCGATGATTTGATTTGACTTATGTGTCGGTCCCGGTCAGAACTAAATTGATGTGTTCGATTAAGTTCTATGTCAAATAAATATGAGATCGAGAAACCAAATGCTAGACAATTGGTTCCATATAAATGTCAGCATGATATCTGTATAGAGGACTGTACGATCCCTTATCTAAAGGATAAGATTGATTAAATCAGAGTTTGACAGCGTCTTTGAGATCTACGATTGCTAATCGGTGTATATAGTTACTAGACTTATCCAAGTGGGAGACTGTTGGAATAGTGTCTAAGGCTGCAACTATATTAAGAAAGTATTTGACCCGATTGAGCATGGTCCTTTTGGGTTGCCTTCACCATAGCAACTTGGTAGGATGATTTACAATGAGAGTTGAAATATTATAAGGAATAATATTATTATTATTTGATTAATATAAATCATAAATTAATTAGGAATTAATTTGGTGACTTAAAGAGATTAATTAAATAGAAGGACTTAAACTGTCAAATGTGTGATAGTTATACTTTAGGCTATAATCCCTTATGGATAATATGGTGGACGATTTTATGGATTAGGATAATCCTAAAATCTGTCCAAAGGGTTTTATATGTGCACATAGCAATGTTCATATGGCTAAAACCCATCAATAACTTGGTTTCTTACTTAGTAAAAATTTATTACTCAAACAAACACTTCCCAGTTAGTACTTTCTTAGTCAACAAATATCAAACAAGACCTTAGTGAGCTAACTTAATAAATTTTAAGTAATTCAAGGTGAACACAAATAGATGCAACTTTCTGTGCCCTTAAATATTTGAAAATCACCCCTAAGACAATGTTTTTTCTGATGCCTTTAGGGGTCAGGGGAGGCCATGGCCCCCTCGCTTTTTAAGTTGTTATTATCTATTTATATGCTGGAATTGTTCATAAGTTACTAAAAAGAAAGACATCTAGAAAGAACAAGCCACACCAAACATTAAAAAAAAAAAACTAGAATTTTTCAAAATACGTATAATTCCTAATTTGTAGGAAAACGCAACTACCAAAAATAAAAAGTTTCAATTATTAGTTATTTAATAACCTTAATAAAAACTGAAAACCTTAACCCTCGACATCATATGTTGACGCCAAGCTTCTCACTTCATATCCTTTCCTGTGGGTTTTCTCCGGTCTCAACATCTTCATGAATCGTTGAATCATGTCCTGCTTTTGATCTCAGCCACTCCATTTGCCTGAGAACCTACGGGATCCGGTTCACCTCCACACTAGGTTTTCCCTTTTTTTTCTTGGTCTCGTTTCTTTTCTTGTTAAAGACCTTTAGGGAATTAGGGTATCCACTTATAATTGTGGTCTCTTGAGTCTCTATGCTAGATTTCTTTTTTATATTGCTTTGGACTTTTCTGTAGATGCAGACTATAGATTTTTACTTTTTACCTAATATTTGCATTTGTACGATTTTTACTTTTTACCTAATATTGCTTGAGTCTCAATGTTTTTATTATTCTTTATATTTGCATTTGTACTTTGTTTTAATGTTTAGTTTTCTAGCTATAAGTTTTATGAGACATAAATAAATAATTATTAATAACATATTTTTGGGTAAAAGAAAATCACAAAAAATAAGGATGATTTTCAGAAAGAAAATAGGCTAAAAGAATTAGATCAAACCTAATCAATAACATTAAGAGACCGATTTATGTACAAAAAGTACAATGTTTTTGTTTTGGGGTTTTGGTTTCGGCCCCCCTTATAGTAAGGGTTGTGTTCTGCCCCTGTTGTCCGCTAAACGCTCTTATATAAGATACATAATCCACCTCAGTGGGTCACAAATTGGTTGGAAGATCGATGAAGAAACAAAACATTGCGTCTTGTTCCTCGACATAACTAAAGTATAGGGTGATGACAAGTATTGTATGTGAAATATTGTGGTTATGACTTCACTAGGATTTAGATGCCATACAAGTGAAAGCAATCGTTGTTAATGTGTTGTTAATGTGCGACAACAAAGCTGCAAGACATATCTCGGTTAACCGGGTACACCACAAGTATACCAAACATGTGAAAATATATTGTTATTTTGTTTGTGAATGTGATAGTAGTGGAGAAGTAAACCATATACTTCTGTTCTGAGTATCAACCATCAAATATTTTTACCAAAGCTCTTAGGTTTGAACATTTTCAATTTTTTTCAATTTCTACATATGATAAATTGGGTAGACGTGACCTAATTATCCAACTTAAAGGGAGGGTGGATATACATTCAAGATACATAAGTTATATGATTCAATTATTTTTGTTACTGTTGTGTCTTCTCATAGTTATATTGTTAAGTTATTCTATAAATACTCGATTGGTGTTTAGTTATATGTTAGTCAATGAAAAAAATTACCATTCTAACAACATTTTTGGCCATTAACCTTAACCCGAAATTTCTTATTTCACAGGACCACTGCAAAATGACAAAACGATACATTTTGTATCATTTTGATTATTTCGTAGAGGACCTTTTAGAAATTCGTATTAATGTTATATCCACCAATTTTGTAATAAACCATGAATATGATACAAACCATCGATAATATCCGAGCATAAGATTGAAATTTGAGTTTAATATATGTCAAGGATTTCGAGAATCGAACGGTTACAAAGTGGACACGAACCTCGATTCAACCATAACTCCCTCGAACACACCCTACAAAATGTGTGTCCACACGGTATGAATGCTGCACCCTTCTTCCTTCTCATACACACGCAACACACAGGATCCATCCCCCCTCCTTCCTTTTCATCGTGATCGTCCGTTTCCTCAAGTAATCTCATCAACGACACCCTCGCCGGCGTCACCGGTATGGTTGTTGTCAGCCTAACGTCGTTATCATTGCCTGAAGTCAACGAGTCGCCACCATCAGCTGCCACGGTGGTAGGTCGAGACTGCCGTTCGGCTTCCAACACGTCGGCGAGACTCATACGTGGCGACGGTAGAACGCAGTCAGGATTTGAATTCGACTCCGGTGGGGTTTGAATTTCATCTGTTAGCTGATTTGGTAGGTCAACTGGATCATCGCCGACGCTGGCCTCGTCGTCTTCTTCATCGTCCTCGCCGTCTCTGATGCTCATGGTAGATGGTTCGATGTCCCAAGTGGACCCACAACAAACTAGTCCTACTCCTAGCCGCTCTTGGAGGGTTCTCCGTCGCCGGAACCGATCAACGCCATCCATTCTTCTTCCCCCTTTTTTTTCTGTAAAAACACATAGTTAGTTCGTTTCTTCATTACCCATAAAATCAAACGCAAGTTGATTCATTACCCACAAAAAAACGCAATCGAATTCTTGAAATCGAATAAAATTCAGCTAAAGAATTCAAAAATAAACACAAAAAGAACGATGAATTTGAAGTTAAACTAGATACCTGTACAACAAAGTGAAATCACCTGAATTTCATCAGCAACTGCAAAGCCAATTGACAAGGGGACTAGCAAGCCACCAACATCGCCGGCGGGTAGTCACCGGTGTGATTCAAATGTAAAAGAGGAATTATAAATGGGGGAAGAAGGAAGTCAAAAGAAGTTAAGGAGAAAAGGAAAGGAGTGGGGCCGATTGTGAGATCATTGACAGCTCTATTGATTGCATTTTAAACGAATTTCACAATGAATCAAGACCAACTACAAAACGAGTGATAAAAGAATTTGTGTAAAGTGTATGGGTTTCTTTGTAAAATTTTAGGTAAATACATTTAGACCCCTTGAGTTTTCATTCATCCATAAAGGCCCTTTGACATTTAACATCTTCTTCTCATTTTGTGGCCAATATGAGAACTAAACCCCCAAAGAAACGAGGATGCGTGTACAAATGCATTTTTTTTTTGTTTTTTGTAAATCATGATGAAAAGCAGTAATTAAGCGTTAATATGTTGCTTAAAAGTGTTAAAGGGAGTCAATTAGTATTATTCTTGTAAATTAGGGGCTCGTAAATAATTTAGTGGTAGAGTGAGAGTACAAATGTACAATTGTACAAAAGTTAGTTGCCGCCCATAACCAGGAGAACGGAAAACGAAGTTCTTTTTGCCATATGGCGCGCTTGGTCTTGTTACAAAACCAAAGTTTACCAAAGTCAAAAGACAAAAATAAATAGCTAAAGAAAAGGTTTATTTATGTGTTCAATGTTTAATTCAAGGGTCTAGCCTCTCATATATGTGATTATTTAGGATTACTTTCACAGGAGAGTTAATGGATTTAAGTCTCTATGGAGACATATGTGATTATTTAGGATTATGTTAGTTAGTTGCCGTTTCAATAAAAAAAAATTCCAATTGTATGTGAGATTTTTAAAAGAACATTGAAATCGTTATTAGTGGTATTTGGTCACGTTTTTTATTCTTAGTTTACAATTTATTCGGTTTTTGGTGTTTTGGTTCCGATCTGTTTCGAGTTGTTCTGATTCCGAACATTTTCTTAGAAAGCACACTTCTTGGTAGAACTGAACTGAATCGATTAGCGGATTAGTGGTATTCAGTCCACTTTTTGGTTCTTAGTTAATGGCTAATTTGGTTTACGGTTTTCCAGTTGGTGTCCGATTTAGTCCAATTCTAGACCGGTTTACATGCCTAATCCCAACACATGTTTATTCTTGATTACGTGTGCGTGTGTGTGTGTATATATATATATATATATATATATATATATATATATATATATATATATATACACATACATACTAGGTTAAAACCCGTGGAAACCACGGGAAAAAAAGAAAAATATTATTGATAATTTAAAATGGTAATAAAAAATCAAAAATTTAATTTTTTTTTTATTAAATTAGAACAATATAAGCCTTATATATAAGTTTATAATGATTAGTTAAACTTAATATATATTATTTTGAATAGTGTCTTTTGGATATCTAATATACATTCTGCATGTATTGAGTTTTAATAAAATTATGATTTTATACAATGCAATATAAACTTGAATAAAATATAAAAAACACAATTAATCATGAAAATGATATTTTTATACAAATATATATATATATATATATATATATATATATATATATATATATATATATATATATATATATATATATATATATATATATATATATATATATATATAACGGTAGTGTAATAAACATAAATAAATAGAACAAAATAAATTACAAAATCAAGCAACATTAATATTTTAAAAAGGCATAATATTAATCATTTATTTGCAAGCAGTTATTTTAGAAGATACGTAGATGTTTTATTTATTTATTTCTTTTTTTAGTTAGTTTTGTTAATAACCCAATTAAATGGTTTAAATAATAAAGTATCAATCCAATATATATATATATATATATATATATATATATATATATATATATATATATATATATATATATATATATATATATATATATATATATATATATAGTAAACATTCTTAAAGTTAAAAATCAACTCTAAGATCCGACAAAGAGCACACATTTTGTCTTGATTAACTTCGATTTTCTTTCTTTTTGATTCCATCTGTTTACTACAAAAATCTTTCTAATCAGAAAAATTAACATAAAAAAAATATAAAATTTGCTGCTATAATAACCGCACAAGTGCATAACTATTCACTTACAACAAAATTACTTTCATTTCTTGCACTCAACCCTTACACAAACCTAGGAAACGATATTGTACTTTCTTACATTTGATCTTTTCAAAATTATATTGCATTTTCATTACTTTGAACATTTTACCATTATTAATCTAATTAAAGAAATAACATTATACTTTCGTTCCATTGATAACTTTAACATCCTACTTCAGTTTTTGTCACACCAACTCTAGTGCTTATAAAATACCAATTATACATTTATACCCTTCATTTTTCGAATTAAGTTGGCAAAGGAAAGAGACCAACCCCATCAACTCCTTAACTGTGAATATAACACTTTCCAATAGAATTTTTCAAAAAAAGACCAAAAAGCCCTTCCTTAGTAAACCAATCCAACCACCTGATAAAATTGCCATTTTTTTGATATAAATTAAAAATCAAACATTTACTCCTAAAGCCCTTCAACTCTTTATCAAAAAATTTGTAAGTATTCCTTTCCACCAAATCTAGTATTTGTAAAATACCACATGTAACCTTCCATATTCAACGCTTTTTGATAGTGAAACTGATCAGGAGGCATTCATCAAGTTCCTTTTTTTCCCTTTTTATATCCATAAGCCACACACTTGGATTTCATTAATGCTTAACTATTAATTCACACTTTTTATCAACCAAAGTCATTATTAGCAGAAAGGTTGACTGCAAGCTTGTTCTTGAAGGTATCAAAAGGACCTTCAACTATCATCTTCACATCATAGTTTCCATTACAGTATCATGATCTGTAGCATAATGGTTCAACCAATAACATCAAAAATTGAAGTATTAACTCAAAAGAACATGTAAATGCTGATGTTTAAAGGGGCTCTCTTTTCCATAACTTTTTTATTAAGATAAAAAAACTATAATAAAATTGCAAGACTAAACTATCATGGTATTCTAGGTTAAAAAGAAACACCAAAGGAGACAAATATAACATTTTGTGATACCATACACATCAAAGTTTTTCATTTGGGCAAATCATCGAACAGTTGTCCTGCATTATGAAATATAACTATAACTTACAAACAAAGAGGGATGATGCTATCTTGCCAATAGTCGACCCTACAGATTAAAACTCATGATTCATCAAATAAAGCCTAAGTCTAATCGAGGCTTAGCATATTGATTGACCAAACCGGATTTACAAGAACATAAAACAAAATTCAAAACAAAAACGTCAAATAAATATGCCATAATGGAACATGAATCAGGAAAAATCAAAGATGAACCTCTTTCTTTAAAAAAAAAAAAAAACACAGAATCGTATCATTTTACCTTTCACGTCATTTCTCTTAATCTCAAGTTCAATATATAGTGTAGAATATTTTCAAGCGAGATAAGCATCGGAGAGAGGGTAACTGTAAGAAGAGGATGTGATATCGTGGATCAGGGAAGAAAAAAGAGATGGTTGTCGATTGTACCCAGATTTGGGGATGGTACCAGTTTCATATTTCAAAATTTGAATATCTTATCAAGGTTAGGATTTAGGAAGCGAGATTTTAGAAGAAAGAAGAGTAATTTTAAGATTAAAGAATAGAAGGGTAAAATGGTAATTTTAGTTGATGGTGAATAAGGTTTACTGAATGGACACGTGGCTAAAGAGGTTTGTTTTATTAGGAGTAGGATATATATTTTCATTCAAATAAATTCACATTAGGTTAAACCTAATGTGTAAATGTATTTTAAAATATTGTTTGTTACATAGCATTTGACTAGATTGAACTAAACTATATTGGTTTTATAATAGTTGTTAAGTCATATACACCTAACCCTACATAAATTTGTTTTTTTATTGTACTAGCCATAATAATTAGCATTGAAAACAATAAAGACTCGTTATGGTAACAAATTAATGTGTTACTAGACATGTAGCATAATTTATTACAGAGCATTTGTAAAATACACAACAAATAAGACTTCATTAGTTTATTACATGGGACCAGTCTTTACACATAGTATTCAAGGTTTTGTCCAAGATTTGATTGAACCCGAGACATAGACACCAATCACAAGACCAACAAGAAGAATCACAATCGTATTCACAGCATTCCTTGACGTTTTCAGCTTCGTCGCAAACACACCAACAGCCCGTTTATAGTTTTCTATTGCAGTTTTAGTCGTTTTATCGAGTTCACCCAACGCCACCTTCGTCTTCTTCTTCCTATTTGAATCACTTGGTTTCTTCTCTGAGGCATGCTCACGAACACCTTTCGCTTTCTTTGGTTCAGAAGGTTTCTCTTCGGGTTTTTTGCTCGATTCCTCTACTCCCATCTTAGGAACCTCTTGATCTTTCCTCAAACTGTTCTCCGTATTTGTTTGTGTTGCTGGGGTGGGGTTTTCGTTGGTAGTTTTCTGACCCACATTTGGTACATCAACAGGCTTTTGAGGCGTCGGCACCGGCGCTGCTGCAACTGCCGGCGGGGTTTCTTCAACTGGTTTGGCTTCTGGAGTGATCAATTTGGGTTGCCTAACGAAGAGAATGTTTCCTTCGAATTTTGCACTGATTTTGTTGAGATCACAGTTTGCAGAAACTGGAAACTCTACACGAAATCGGCTCCATGTGTCTTGCTGAAGCTTTCGTTCACCGCTAATGTTCAAATTCCTTGATCGGAGTTGAACCCTCAATTGTTCCTTAGCAAAACCTGCAAATATTTCCAAGAATTTGAAACAAAACATCAAAAAAACAAAGGAAATATAAAGAAAACGCACCAGGGAGATATACGAGAAGAGTATCGGAATCATCTTCGGGCACCCACTCCATTGAAGGTTCGAAATCTTGATAAACTCGAGCTGCAGGTGTAGTTATTCCCTTGGCTTCCATCTTCGATTAGCTTTAGGATGTCAAGATTGAGTTCGAAACACTTTGTTGAATTGCAATTCAAAGACTCGATCTTGTTGAATAAATATGCGAACATTTGTCCGAAGATGGTTTGCATTTTGAGGTTTGAATGGTACCAAATTTTGTGAAAGTTTTCTTGCAAAATAGATATACCTTTCCTTCAATTGTGTAGCCTTTTCTTTTTAGTTACGCATAATGTCGTATGCTTTCTACAATTGCATTTTTTTAAAAATATTTGATTAAGTACAGGAATAACAAATAAAAACGCATCTTTTTCTTTTGCCCTTCTTCTAATTAATTTCTAATTTCTTATCAAAGACTTGATATAACAATTTTGTATAATAGATGATATTTACTTGAAATGATATCTTAAGCCATGGCCCATGGAGTGTGGAGCATGGATAAGATGACATAGCTTATTGGTAAAAAAAAAATAATGACAAGACATGCGGGTGTGTGGTAGGGATGAACATTTAGACCTAATCGGTTTAGAGAATTCCGTGGACCGTGAACCGGACCTAGTGAAATATACCAGTGTCGATATTGGTTCAGATTTTGGTCTTAGTTTCTGTTTTTGGACGAGTACAACATTTGTTGTGTATGATATAAGTTGTTGAAGCAGTAGGGAAAAACTTTTAGTTTTGATACCCGACATCTAGGGACAATAACTTATTCAACATGAAACCAAAAATAATGAAATTACATACAAAACTCAAGTAAAAACTCTAAACTGTATGGTGAAAAATATATCATGTCAATCCGACTTCAAACTAATAAGATATGTATCTTTTAACAATTTCATAGATTATTAATTAAAACTGAAAAGCTGAAAATATTTTAGCTTTGATATCCCGACTTCGAGTACCGTAGGCAGGGACCTATAAAGTGTGAGGGATCCTTTGCAAGTACTTGATATTTTTGTATTAGTAATTTTTTTTTGTTGGTGTGCACCTACAAAAAATACAATTATAATATTATTGTAGTTTAACCATATAATCAGAAGTTGAGATGGCCGAGTTAGTTTAATTTAATGGTTTAAGGTTCTGAAATGGTGTGGGTTCAAGCCTCACTCTCAACAAATTTCTTTAATAATCATGAAGAATGACGTTGTACTTACTTGGTAGCTCACTCTAAACAAATTTCTTTAATGATCATGAAGAATGACTTTTTACTTGTTTGATAGCTTCCAAGAAAAGAAAAGAATCATTCAAATTTGAATCACATTACCTCACAAGATTTAATTCATTCATTCCATAACAAATAACAAGTATAAATCTTAGCCTATATCCCTATAAAAATCGCATAGATAATTACGTCCCCTCCAAATTATCAGTAGGATTGATCCATATGTTTTTTTTTTTTTTTTTTTTTTTTTTTTTTTTTTTTTTGACTTGAGCAAAAAAACTTAACAATGCCTTCATATTTCTACCGAACCCATATATAATGCAAAATAATAAAAAAGTAAAAAAGTTTCTTTATGTAAAAATTTCATATAAATACAAACCAAATCTTGCTAAAGTAACATAAAATGATGTCTTGATATATTCTTTGAAGCAAAAATATCAATTATGATTAACCTTTCAATCTTTTTTTAAGTCATTTTGTTTGCATATATAACCTCACAATTTTAAAAACTTCCTTCTTACGATATGCAATGGATGGAGGAAGGTTAGATTGCAACAAATAGATTTGCTTAACATATAAGTGTTTTTGTCATTGAGACCATCTAACTTTTACTTTATGTTTTAAAAGACCAATATTGTTTTTTCTGGTCTTTATGGACCCTCAAACTCAAAAATTACATGTCTCTTATACCCTTTACCCTAAAATTTACACACAATTGCCGGTTATCCATTAAGTTACTGCATAGGTGGACAATGTTGTCCACGTAGATACACAGTTGGCAAGTGACGGATCAGCTTCATTAATATGTTATTTAGAGTGCCCTAAATGAAGACAAGATATTCAAGATCATTTCCAGTTTATAACATTTACTTTTCAGGTCACGAATCCTTAAGAATCGATTAGTTTCTCCTTCGATGACATACTCATCTAGATCATCATCTGATAACCACACTGTTCTCGCTATTTGGAATCGTGACAACGACCTGTGCGCTTGTCGTCATCTAAAGTTAAGTGTAGAAAAGATGTCGATGTCAGATAAGAATCCAGCTCGTAGATTTTGCAACTGCGTTGACTCTTTGGTAAAGCATCGTCTTCTTTAAATCTGTTGTCAAGATTGTGGAATTAGGGTTTAGCAAACAATGGGGGTAATTTTTAGTTTAGGGTTTACTATTCTCGATTATGTGGATAGTGAAACGAGCTTCTGGTGTGTGTGACTGAATATTTCATTGGTATGTTTATTTGTAGGTGAAGATGGCAGCTGAAAAGTGTAAATACTTCAAGTGGATCGATGATGAGCTGACACCACACTACAATAATGCTTTCAACAATCTCAAGTCTGAGTTGAAACTAATAAAAGACACTAGTTATGCTGCAAGACTAGAGAGAAGGGTAGCTTTGCTGGAGAACCTGAATGTTGAAGCCATTGTTGCTAAAGAAATTGTTGATGGTGAACTAGCCATTGTTGTTGAAAAAAAGAAACAATTGAGGGGTGAGTTGAAGTTTGTGAGGTTGAAGTTCAGGATTGCTATGATGTTTCTTGTGCTTCTTGCTGCTGTGTTGATGATGCAGAAAGCAAAGGTGGTGGGATAGATATTGTTGGGGCTAAAGGATTGGGTGTAGTTAATGGTTTTTGGTTGTATAGATGCTCTCCCTTTTTGTAAACTTGGGGTTGGGGATATGAAGATCTTCTATGGTTTTTGGTGGGTAGGATATAGATTAGTATATGTATGGATGTAAATGCCCTTCTCTGGTCAATGCCCCTGTAATTTAATCAACTTTTGTACGCCCCATGTACTTTTGTATCTAATGGAAACCAATATCTTTATTTTACTATAATTTTGTTCCACTGAATGGTCTTGTTAAGTGAAATTGAATACTGATAAAAGGCATTAGTTATTGTGGACAAAAACAATTGAATATAATGCATATCTTATGGGTACAACAGACAAGTGAAAGTGATTGAGTTGCTGGACCAATACAGGAAAAAGGCAATGGGTAAAATGAGGACCCAACATGTGATCCACATCCGGATTAAAATGACAACATTTTAGGAGGAGTGTACATTTGTGGACCAACTCAAGGATTGAATACTGATAAAATAGTAGGGTACCATCACATGTGATATTAGAACAATAAGTCATAAAGACAAATTACATAGGGTTCAAACGATAGAATTAGGGGATCCATGTGAAGTTAAGTAAAGGTTCAAAAGACACAAATGTTCCCCATGCAGCAACAACATAAACTATTACATAACATAAAGGTTCAAAAGATGACACGTGTGTAAGGAGACAAATCCTAATCTATATCGACTGCATTTGTTGTAGAGCTGCCTTCACTATTTTTCCCATAAACTGCTTTTGCAAGTTTGGTTTTCAAAATTCTCTCAGAAGGCTTTCTTGTTCTAATTGCAACATCCACTCCTCTTGCTTTCACCTGTAAATAAGAAAATTACCATACTACCCTTCCATTCAAAATACTTAAAACAATATTAGGGGTATACTTGTACAGTTTCAAATAATAAAATTACCATATTACCCTTCCATCAAATAACAAAACTACCATATGATCGTTCTATTAATAATAAAATTACCATATTACCCTTCCATTAATAATACTAAAAACATTATTAGGGGTATACTTATATACAGTTTCAAATAATAAAATTACCATATTACCCTTCCATTAATAATACTAAAAACATTATTAGGGGTATACTTGTATAGTTTCAAAGTACCTTTTTCTTTCGAACACCATGAACTCCACCACCTTCACTACCATGCACACCACCTTCACCTCCATGTACACCACCTACAACACTGTTAACTGATCCTTGCACACGTACTGCACCACCATTCATTGACCCTTCAACTATAGATTCCTATACAAGGTAACATGTCAATATTTAAGATTTACAAATTTGCTTTGCTAAAATGACATCATCATTTCAATATACATGTGTAGTCTTGGTTATCTTTGGTCTTTTCACCCTGAGCTTAACTGGCTTATTTGTTGTAGGGCAAGTAACCTTGTTGTGGCCAGGCACATGACAAGCACTGCACATAATGGGTTTACCCTTCTTTGATACCTTATGCTTCCCTATTTATGGGTTATTTGTTGTGGGGTAAGTCACCTTGTTGTGGCCAGGCATATGACAAGTACTGCACACAATGGGTTTACCTTTCTTTGATACCTTATGCTTCCCCATTTTCTCTATCACATCTGTATTCCTATTTGTTGTAGGTCTTCCAGGCATCCATCTTCTTTGGGGAGGTAAGGGTGGGGTGAATGATGTCTCCGTTGTCACACCCCAGACCAGATAGCAGAAACGTGCGGAGGTGGGTGACTTCATTATGCAGTATCATAACAATTGAATATAAATGAAACATAGCAATCCAAACATCATACATTGAGATAACAAGCTTACATTGTTTACATATTGTATTTGTTCTTCGAATTACACAAAAGAGACATAAGCAGAAAAATCCAACCTACAACTAAAAGTCTTGCATCCACGTCCCTTGTTACCTGCTTACTAGATCCCTGAGAACACAAGTCGTTTTGAAAAGTGTCAGCTAAAAAGTTGGTGACTTCATAAGCATTTTTGTACAAAATCGTTACACTTGTTTAGAATCGTTCTTATCGTACTTTCAGAAAATCCGATATTTTCTATGAAATCGTTTGAAGTCTTGCCTTGAAAATCATGAATATGTGTGTGCATGTCATTAATTTTATTCATCCTTATAAGGAGTGATTTTGAAAACTAGTGTGATTTGTAAAAGCGAGCTGTGTACGAGAATAGTTCCTTTAAATAGTAATAGTTAACCATTTCGAGAAAAATCCCTTATTTTCAAAAAGAGAATATGGTTGAATATATTGTTCCTATTATCGAGTAAAATTGAGTGTGTATTCTAGTTTATCGTTATCGAAATCGTAGAAAATCATTTTCTCCAGAAAATCCTATATTTTCTGCTATAAAATATTCATAAGTTCTATTTCCAACTATGTATATGTGTGGGTTAATTTATCATTTTGAAATTTTTTTACAAACGTTTTCCATAGAGTCCTACGCTTTTAATTTGTAAAAATAGCAGTATTACGACTCTATACTTGTTAGGAGAAAAAATCAACATGGCAATTGTGGACATTCTACGCGATGAAAAAGGAGAGTCAACGCAATAAATACAGACCATCACTTATCATGTATAGGATGGTCAACACAACATGCCAAAAATTTATTTATGAGTTTTTTTCCTTACATAACTTTCTAGATGACATAACATATTCTAGTGAGTCGTTATAACCATACCAATCTGACGAAGTTCCTATTTTGGAGTTTCTCAGGCGCCCTCGGTTTGGAAAAGACATTTGTCACCCTAGACTGGCCTCTCTAGCTATAGCGAACAGTGAAGGTGCGGGGTGTCAACCCCGTATAGATCTATACACAAATTCATGCTCTCCCTCCAGGAGACTCTGGCTATAACTCTTTACTGGACTTAGACATACACTAATATTTTTATATTTAGGTACTTTTGAGATTTGTCTGACTAGTATATTAACAACCTTTTGAGTAATCATTAGATATCCATTATTTGTTAGATAAATAATGAAATTCGTACTTGTTAAATAAAAATACCATTCTCGTTCCATATCATTGATTTTGCTTGTTAACTAGGTGCTCGTGTTCGTTCATTTTCGTTTATTGAAAAATAATTCATTTCAGTCAAGAGAAAAAGTGTCAAGTTATAATTTGTATAAATTTATAACTGCCGCTTATGACACGCATTTTCTGTTTTATGACATATAGAACATTATTTATGTTGTTGGAGGTTTTACGACAACAGTTTATGACATGCAAATATTTCTGTCATAAAGGCTCTATTTGTGTATTTTCTTGATGCAAACTTTTATATTGAATATTTATAAAATACCCCCTGACAGTTTGCAAAATAGTCCTATGTTCGAGTGGTAGGGTTTGTTATATGATTACTCGTTTAAAAGAAAGTGGGTATCCCAAACCTTGTCAATGTCCATCACACATGCTTCTCTTCGGGATGTGGTTTCTTGTTAACCTTGACCTTGCTAGGTGGAATTTCTTGAGTTTCGGTGGTTTGACACTTGTGAGTGCTGACCACATGGAAGGAGAAATGTCCTAACCTGGGTCCTTTGGTTAATCGAAGACTATGTGTTATCGGGCCCTTTCTAGGCAAGGCCTTTTGAATGGTCTTCTAGGGATTGGGATCCTGGTGTCCTAGAAGTAGAGTTTTCTAGGTCTTAGGAGTTGGTATTATGGTCACCAAGTTTGAGTTTGCGTGATATAGTTGAACTTATGAGCCTTAGATTATCTTGGGAGCTTTCTCCCTATGGTTTTTACAACCTAATGGTAGGCAGGTATCTTCCAGTTCTTTGTTGGTGGTTGAGTGAACCTCCAATTCAGGGTAGGGAGTATCGATCCTTGATGACAGGTTTGTTTGGCTTACTCGTAGTCAGTGATGCTTATGGTAATTTTCGTCTTTATCCCTTATGAGTTAGACATGTGTTTCCTATGGTTAGGGGGTGGGTCTGATGTTTACTTTATCTATTATGTCGATCTTGCGATCAGACACTATCTGTTCTTGAGACTGTGCTAAGTGGTATCGGGTGTTTGGTTATTGGGGTGGTTCTAGGAGCCGTGGTGATTCTATTTCCGCTTAGCAAATGGTTGAGATTTTCAAAGGGATTATAGGAACCTTTGGAGGAGGTTGGAAGCATTTTGAATTCCTTTGATGCCGTTTGCTTCTTGATTTTCAATCTTCATTGGGCTAGGGAGGGGCATGGTATTTCTTACACCAGAACTTAGGTGTCTGGTTGCTAGGGATTTCTCGTTACTGGTTGGAAGAGTTTTATTATTCGGTTGAGTAGAATGAAAGTCTATTGGCAGAGCTTGAGGTTTTTAAGGTAAGGATCAAGCCCGTTCGTGCCGATTGATGACATCAGACTTCTTGTTGTTACGTTGATTTGAGGTGTATTGGTTACTAGTAATGACTTGGTGTTCTATGTTCATGTTCTTATCGTTGCTAGTTTCATTTTTGTTGTTACCATTGGGTCTATCTCATTTCTGCCTGTTAGGTGTTCTTGGCGACACGAGGGTGCTGTTACAAGGCAAGGGAATTCGTAATCTGAATTATGTCGGGTCCTTTCACTATAGATGGATGTGACCTAACCGCACATACTTAGGATTTTAAAAGGTAATTGACTGTGGGGTTCTATCCCAATCAATATTCAGACTGGGGACAGGAAAGTGATGCGAGATCTCCCGCGCTTAGTTTATGGAATCCTAACTATATACGATACTAACGTTCATAGGGAACCATCATGTTCCATTAGTGAGGATCCCTAGCTTCCACTGATTTACAGGATTGGCTCTAACGAGAAAATAGTTTTTGGATTATATTTTTAATTGACAAAAACTTTTGTGATAGTTCGATGCTTAAGTTTATCGTGGAACATATCAAAAGCTGTGGTAGGGTTCCTTGTCGTCAACTCCTGTCTAGTCGTTGACTCCTTCATTAGTCATCTCTATTGGACAATCTCTCTTAAGATGTCATGTTGCACCGCACTTGTGACAAGCTGGACTTACTTATGGGTTGGGAGTTGGGGTGACGCATGGGGTCGGGGCCCTACAATAGCGGGAGGTGTGTCCCATCTTGTTGCATCTTCTGCAACGAAATTTACAACAGGCTCCCCAATGATGGTATTTGCACTTATTGCAGGGTGGATGGTTCCCAAGGTATGGTTGTATCGATGTGGGAGGAACAGGGTTGGTAGGGGTAGGGACTGATCCCGCTTGTTGCCTTTTAGTAAGCCTCTGAGTTGAACTTCCTTCTTTTTCATTTCCGATCTTTCGTTTCTTGTTCTTAGATTTAGGTTTTTGAGTGCATTTGTGAGTTGTCCTTCGTTGGTTTCTTTGGTTGTTGTTATGGTTGAAATTACTGACACTGCCTCCAACTTTGTTTGTGTTTTTAGCATTGAAGTATGCCATGGCGGCTGCCATAGCAGCTGTTACAGTGGCTTGGAAAGTGGCGAAGTCTATTCGTAGGACCGGTGCATAGCCAGGATACTGGTTGTCTTTATGAGAAGACATGACTCTGTTGCACACGAAAGGTAAGCTCGTAAGTACTCGCAGTTAGTCTCAAATAAGTTTACTCGTATAATCTTAACATACTGGTTTTAATTGTGTCAACATACATCCCCATGATGTACTTATGGAGTTGAGTGGAAACATGTATTGTTTGATGTAAAGTCCGTCAAAATAGCACGTAGCTAGCACTATAGGTAACAGATTCGGTTGTATGCATTTTTGGAGGATGTACTCCTCTTGATTTACTACTACTGGTTGTGATTAAGGGCATTATGGACCTAAGGCGAGTAGTGTGGTGATTCTTGTTTGGCGCACAAAGTGCTTGGCCATTTCACTTGTATTAAGGGTGCCCTTTTTGTGTTCCTTACGCTGCTAAGGTTGTCCTAGCCTTGATTGCTATGAGATGTGGTCTCCAAATGACCATTTGCTCTTTTAAAGAGTGCACATGGTCTACATAGTTTTCTAGTCCTCCTGGTGGGTTTCGTAAGGCATTTGGAATGGTGTTCTTATTGCTTGTGGGGGATCGGATTTACACTGTTTCACACTGGGCATTGCTTATGGTCTTCATTACGACAGAGGGTTGGAAATCAGGAGTCACTCTAGGTTACTTGTGGCCTAGACAGAGGTGATTCCTGACTCGTGAGAGTGTTGGCTATCAGAGTTCGGTGCACATCGGTTGTGGATCTGG